TCTTAACCGTGGCTTGTGTACTGCAAACACATATTCATCACTGTGTCTGTCACGAGACTCTGTTCCCCTTTCAGGCTCTGTCTTTACATTTATTTTGAAAGATGAAGCTCGTGATTATGGTAAGGGGCGTTACATTTCCGACGAGTGCTTGCGGTGTTCGGCCAATCACAATGCACTGGGTCAGCTGGCCAATCAGAGCAGACTGCGCTTGTCGGAAGGAGGGACTTTGTAGAAAACGAAGCGTTTGAGAGAGGCGGGGCATAGAGGACTTACAATAATGTACAGTATTTGAAAAATAATGTGTTTTTTGAACATTAAAGCATGTCAACATATTCTGTTACACCAAATACACAAAATAATGATCTTTAAAATAGCATCATATGACCCCTTTAATAAAATAAACAAAGACAAAATGAAAGTAAAGCGGCAGCCCCTCGCGGACAACTGCCGCACACAAAACACAAAATAAAATCCAGGCCTGGTCCACTTTTGTCTTTCACTGTCATAACTCCTCCTTTTATCCTTCCGGAGCTCCTCCGTGGCACTTCGGACCAGTGAGTGGTGCAGGTGTCGCTCATTATCAATTACTCCACCGGCCTCGCTCCGTTCCCACGGCTCTCGGCCCCGCCCCCACGCGTCACACTTTGCAAATCTTTTTTATGCTCAAACAGCAATATTACAGATTAACTAAAGTTGAAAAAGTGAAAAAGCATAATAGAACCCCTTTAAAAGATGCTAAAATTGCTGAATACATTTTTAAACGGCTAAATTTGTTGCTATGTGCGTTGGAAAAAAAGTTGCTAGGGTGGTCTGAGAAGTTGCTAAATCTAGCATCAAAATTGCTATATCGGCAACACTGTAGGCTACTCGGGCATTTCAGCGTTTCCCGTCAAATGTCACAAACCACTCCCCTTTCCCTCGGCCCGCAGCTAAAGCAGGCGTGTAGCTGCCCCCGCTTGTAACACAGGCCCACACATCTTAGTCTTTTCCTCCTGTTATTAATAATCTCTTTTCCTGCTCAGTGGCCTCCAGCTCCCATAGCAGACACTATCCCAGAGGCTGATTTAAGCATGAGGCTGCCTCCGCTGACAATCGCGGCCCCTGCTCCTCTCCCTCACCACCCTACTTCATTCATTCATTCAAAAAAAGGCCTTCAAGAGCTACATTCGGTCGGACTGCTTCCATATCAAAGAAGCTCACCGAACCCTCATCTGCCGACCCCTTTAACTCCAGTCCATCCCTGTTCACTCGAACTCCAGACCCACCATAAGTAAATTTTCAGACGTTTAATGAGGCTCAGAGGTAGCATGAGTGCAATTAAATTAATAAATTCTTGTGAAGATTAATGTTTTAAATATACAATTTTGAATACAGAAATATGATTTAAATAACTGAAATTATACGCTAAAAATTAAACTAAATCTGCCAGCAGGTGGCGGCAAGTCACTGATTGTCTCACTGAATCATTCATTCAATTGATTCGTTCGAACAGCTGAATAATTCAGGAATGAAGCAAGTGACTGTCTTTATGAACTGACAGGAACTTCAATCCCTGTTGTCTGTATTACCCCACTGCCGCAGCAGTGACGGCTCCTGCAGGAGCCTTATCTGTATTTCCTGACTGCTGCAGCAGTAACTGCTCTCACAGGTTCGGGCAAATGCAGAGCTCGGAGCCCTCTCCTCGGACAGCACGCCAAATACACATACTATTCTTCTTGCTTTATTATCTGCAAGGCGAACTCATGAAGTGATGTTTTATTAACAAATTTCGGGAGGAGCACGCGCAGATAATCAACCCGGCCAATTCACTATCAGTAAATACATCATCTATCCAACCACCACAAGAGAGAACCACTATAAATAATCATTGCAGACTTACCTTCATTCTCTCTAGTCTTCCAGCATCCCTCCACCACCCCGACTCCTCACCGTCGACCCATTTCTACCGGGGGGAGCGCTCTGCATTCGGAGCCCTCTCCTCGGACAGCACGCCAAATACGCATACTATTCTTCTTGCTTTATTATCTGCATGGCGAACTCGTGAATCTCTGATTCTCCTCCGTGGCCATGGAAAAATTTATATTTACAATGACAACAATTATACTTCGTCATTAAAACGTTTCCAACAAAGAAATGGATCGACTTCTATCATCTTGTTGAACAAACACTTTATTTGGATAATCTACCATATGTTGGCTGAAGCAGCAGCGCTCATCTAGTGGGCGACACTGTTTTCACACTAATCAGATCAACATTGTAAACCAAATTCTACAAAACTTAAGATAAAAAAATCTAATTATCATGTGAAGCGATAAACTAGCTTCTCTTCCCTGTAAACAACCCAATGAAGAATGTGAATATTTAACTTCAAGGTCAAAACAAAACAACAGATAAGCAGATATCCGTATTAATTTCAGCATTTGTAGCAGAGGGTGATCCTCTCAAAATGGCGGTGGCGCCCCAGCATGCAATGCGGCGTGACGTAGATTCACATTCTCTACTGAAAATATAATTGACGACCCGCAAAACAATTATATTTTGTAATTTTATTTAATGTGTTTTTAGTTAACAATGGCCTGATTTATTTGAATAATCATTAATCATTCCGCCTTTTCAGGAAAAAAAAAGTATGTGAACTTAACTCATTTTTACATTGAACTCACCAAGATCGCTTGTCATTACCGACTAGCCTATATTAAATGCTTCTGATTGACTATTGTATTCATGCACTTAGGTTGCAATGCTCAATTGTTCAAAAAACACATAAATCTAAATGGAATCATGTTATGGACACTTTTAGACTTTTAATTGACCTAGACAATTACCAATAATCAATTAATTATGATCTCGTGGAAATGCTTACAGCTCTATACAGCTAAGTGGCTTAATCTACTGGAAAGACAATGATCCAGAGGTCATCGGCAGGCCTTGTTCCACTATACACCTATATACCTATGGTTATTCACCTAAACAGTTTTGCTTGTTGAATTCACAATTGTGTTTGATAGTGATAGATAGTTATAAATAGTCTTAAATAATTTATTAAACAACTCTCAGAGTTTGATTGTGTGACTCTTGGGAGACGCCGTAGACTATGGCATCACTGAGGTTCTTCACAAGCTGTGTGTCTTGCAGTGTTTGGGATATGGCATTCTGGAAGTACCTCCACTACAGTATATTGCAGGTGAATGTATCATCTTCAGCAATCTAGTCTGCATTCATTTTTTATTGTTGAGCTCATGAATCAAATCATATGTGGTGAGTGTAATGGGGTATTCACATTGGATGGCTCGCCTTCGACTCATTTTGAGTCACAGTTTCACTGATGTTTTTGTCTTCCACTTTCTGATGAATGGCCACCTGTGTGTCACTGCCATGCTTGCTGGTGGTCAAGGTTGATGTGCAGCTTTCCTTGGAAATTACTTGGTTCATTTTCCTTATTCCAGTGAATACTATAGCTCTAGGAGATTATCAAGGTTGATATCGTGAGAGTGTTGAATAGAGGATTACAGTATTAATGATCTTTATCTGTTCAAGTTAACTTGGTGTTTCAAGACTGAGGAGGGTGTGCTTTACTACTTGACTGATAATGTTCACTGCTGTCAGTCAAATATGACCGTTAACTACGATACAAACACAAACCTTTAGTTATCTTAAGTTACGGGCAGGCTTCTGCAGGAACCTGCCTTACAAGATGAATTCAATGACCATATACTTGCTTGGGTTATAGTAACACAAATGGACTATTGTACAAGATTTATGTATTTATTTATACAAATGTACAATTTCACAGTTTAAACATTTGATACAAAATTAGGATGAATTTGGAACAATTAGAGCATTTTTGACATCATATCGATATCAATAAGTGCCCCAACTTGAATTCAACATGGAAATACTCTAACAAAGAGTTATTTATTATGTACTGCTGTGCACGGTAAAAAAAAATTTTTTTTGAAGTTGTAAATAAAACATGTATGTTTTATAAGAAAATACTACGTCAGTCTTTTCATGTTTAAATCAGTGTTACAAAATTTTCATTCATTTTCATATTTTTCTAATTTTTTTTTTTTTGAGTACCACATTCTCAGAACACAAATGGTGCAAATGAAATATTCAAGAATGAAAATACCTAATTCTATCAATGAATTAGACATGCCCAAATTAAGATCTGCTACACGGGCCATCAAACAAATGGCTTTTTGACAAAACACAAAAAGTGCAAAACACAAAATAAGATCTTTTCATGAAGCGTTCATCTTTTTTGTCCATATATGAAAGTAAACAGGGTCAAAAACAATGAAAAAAATAAAACAAAACACTGAGACATTTTTCAGACATTTTCTGTTGTGTTTCACAGAAGAAATAAAGACATATATATGGGTTTGTATTGACATTAGGGTGAGTAAATGCTGACAGAATTTTAACTTTTGGGAAAACTATCCCTTTAATAACTTCTTATTTTTAGGCAAGTTGAGTCAAGTGAGCAGGGTGTGGATACCACACTAGGATCCATCAATATTACATCAGTAAGTTGAAGAAAGTAAGTTGGTTTACTATTAGAGAACTGTGGTTTGGCATGTGAATGTAGAGCATTGTCAAAACAATAATGCTTGTAGCATGAGTGATAATTCTATGAATAAAGCGACACCCTGTTTCTTGGAGGTAATGCAGTGCGTCATTATCAGCATTCTTCCCCATGATTGTGTAGCCTAGTGAACACAACTGAGAGACCATTTTGAAGGCTCAGGAAACCTTTGCAGGTGTTTTGAGTTGATTAGCTGATTGGCATGTCACCATATTCTAATTTGTTGAGATAGTGAATTGGTGGGTTTTTGTTAAATGTGAGCCAAAATCATCACAAATTAAAAGAACCAAAGACTTAAACTACTTCAGTCTGTGTGCATTGAATTTATTTAATACACGAGTTTCACAATTTGAGTTGAATTACTGAAATAAACTAACTTTTCCACGACATTCTAATTTATTGAGATGCACCTGTATACTGTGTGATATCATGATGACCCACCCAAACATCACCATTCCAGTCACCATACATACTCACCAGGCCTAGTCAGCACAGGAAGTGATGATTAACAGGAAGGGCTTTGATGTTCTGATTAGGAATTGAACAAGAATGGAAATATGTTCTTTAACGGCATATCTGTGCACACTGCAGTGGTGGGTTGTGGGTGTTTTACAGAGTTCTTATTGAAAGTATCTGTTGTAAAAACGTACACAAACAGGATATAAATTCAAGAAAATTTGATTTTAATATTTTTTTTTTTTTAAAAGCACTTTTTTTCCAAAGTGTATGAATACTCTTTACTCCTGATTCCTTCATTATGTAATCAGCAGTAAAATAAACTCAAATACTAAAAGAGTCATGACATACATCATAGTGAAACAGCAAACAAGCTGATATGAAAATAAAACTGAAGATCACTGGCATTTGAAAAATCATTGACTAAACTGGCAAGATCATTGGAATTTGACAAATCATTGGCTTAAATATCAAGATGATTGGCAAAATCGGCAAGATCATTGGCATTTGAAAAATAATTGGCTAAACTGGCAAGATCATTGGCATTTGAAAAATCTTTGAGTAACTTTAAGTAACACATGTGTGCGTAAACACATCACATAGTAGTATAGTGTCTTTTAAACCAAAGTGGTTCATACTTTCGGGTCAGTGCTGTGGTTCATTTAGGTCTCCGCATACCTATTCCACAAGACTACTGGTTCTATCAGCTATCACTTTAAGGGTGTTGACGTCTCACTTCTCATGTTCGTTTCTCTGTCTGAGTATTGTACTTTTACTGCAGTCTAGAACTGCTAAACGGTAATTCAGCATAGCAGGTCATAGGGAGCATCACTTGAAAATGGGGCTGAGGATAGTGGGCATGGTCTCGTTGACCTTCTCCTTGTATAAAGTATAGAGGGCATTCTTTTTGTTGATCTTTTTTATGCAACTGTAGGAATAGAAATGAGTTTTAGAGTCAATGTAAAATCAATGAAGAATTAACCTATCAAAGAATCTGTAAGTGTTTGTTTATTTATTAATAAATCTTTTGGCCATATACTTACATCTTCTTTAATATCCATAATGAAAGACAAAGGATGATGACTCCAGCAATACCAATGACCACCAGGCCCACCAGACCGAGATATGTCCATTTTGGAATGTATTGAGTTTCCTTATCTTCTGATGGTGACAGGAGAAAAAAGACATGAATGATCAAACTAACATTAGAAGTTTAAAATGGAAAGGACTATTTACAATCTAAGGACCATTTCTGAGAACTGTCCCCCCGACTGAGCCTGGTTTCTCCCAAGGTTTTTTCTCCATTCTGTCACCGATGGAGTTTTGGTTCCTTGCCGCTGTCGCCTTTGATTTGCTTAGTTGGGGACACTTCATTACCAGTGATATCGTCGACTTGATTGCACAGACACTATTTAAACTGAACTGAGCTGGATGATGACATCACTGAATTCAATGATGAACTGCCTTTAACTGAAAATTGAGTGTTTACTATTGTCATTTTGCATTATTGACACAATATTTTCCTAATTAATGCTGTACAGTTGCTTTGACACAATCTGTATTGTTAAAAGCGCTATATAAATAAAGGTGACTTGACTTGATGTTCTAACATCTTTGGATGTGTTAACCATAAATATTTTCAAAAGCTGAAAAGAGCACATTAAATACAACTACTATCTTTAAATATTCATAAACACATATCCCTTATAAAAGTTTCACAAGATCAGAATGACAGAATACTCTTTAATCAATAGGTCTAACCTGTACACTTTGTTTGGCTCCAGTCACTCCAAAATCCTCCATCAGCACAGTACATGTTCACCTTTGACCTGATTCGAAAGCAGGTTTTCTGACTTTCCACCTCTCTCGGGACGCCATAAGATGTGTCCTCTAAATTCTGAAGAACCATCTTTTCCTGAAGGGGGAAAAAAAGACCTCATGGATGCTTTTGACAGACTGGATTCTTGGCTCTTTTTTGGTGTTTTTATTGGCACATTAGCTAAATCAAATCTTGGTTTGACAATGCATGCCAAGATTCAGAATGAAATGCAAATGAATGGCAGGTGTTCATGTCAACAAGTGTTGTTTACAAATTACTAGATGTTACAAAGCTATAAAAAGACTTTTAGACAAGAGAGTCTTGTCATCAGTGTTTCTCAGTCCCTCTCCTGAAGGCATTTCGGATGTTTCCCTTATCTAATATGTCAGATTCTTATCAGCCCATTAGTACTCTATAATCTGAACTGGATGTTTCAAATGTGAGACACCTAAAATATGCAGCAACAACCACAAAAACATGAAAAGTAGAGCGGAGGATAATGTTTATTTTTACTTTGATTTTTATTTCTACTCCTCTTCATTGATGATTTGAATCTAACTGCACTGGATAGAAGAAAAACAGAACTATTAAAATACCTGCTTTTCTTTGCCATTTTCCATCGAAGTGCTGCTCTCCACCTCATATTCCAAGCAGTGTTCTGGCACCTGACCACTAGGTGGTGACCAATCTAACTTCAGCTCTCCATCAATCTCTGAGACATGCACAGAGGAGACCACTGCTGGTTTTACTGCCCAGAGAAAGAAAGTGAGAAGAAAATGAGGAATACGTTCTTTAAATGCACTTTACTATTGAGTCAGACCAGGTGCTTATTCTGTATATGTCCCTAGTTAGCCAAGTTTGCAGTTTCTAGACTTATTGTGAGAGATTTATTCTGACAAGTATAAAGCAGTTTGTAGTTACCATGGTTTTGGACCTCAACAGAAAAGTAGGCCGTTCTCAGACTTCCTGCTGGAGAGGATCCATTTACACATAAATTAAACTTAGAGAACTCCAAGAGTGATTCTCGAGGAAACCTGCATCCCCTTCGACCCTCAGGTAATACGATGTATTCTGGACATTCCTTTGTTTCATCCATTTCCCGGTGCCTGGAAGAACAGATATACATTTACTCATCAAGTTGAGTCTTTAAGTGTGCTTATTTTATTATTCAAAACGTGGGATATCAACATAAAACTGATTTGTTTGTTTCTATGTGCATCATTAGATATCATTAGAAAGAAAATTACGCATGCTATTGACCTTAGAGATTCAGAGTATGAACAGATGATTGGGTTTTAAATCGTATTTTAACATCAAATTGAAGATTCTGTTGACCTGCTACATACATTTACAGAAAGAACTAGACACTTGCTCGTTCTAGCTAAGCAGTTCTGACTCTTGACCTGTAGTGCAGTGGAATGCAGTGATCAGATCCTAGTGTTTCAACCATGACCACCAACCAAACTGGCTTATGTTAAACTTTGCCAAAAACAAATGTGTGTACTATATACTCTAGTAAGCATATCGTTTCTTTTTCCATGGAACAGATAAAACAGTGGAAGCTTTGGCATTTGAACACTGAACTCTATAAGGTTGCTCAGTACATTCAAGTAAAATTACTTGTGCTTCAACCTGTCCTCTGCTCCCCCTGAGGCACAGACAGTGAAAAAGCTCTTGATGCGTATGTAAAAAGCATTTGAAATGCTTTAATGGTGTTTGTAATCAGCATTTCACATGGAAGTGCTCACCAGTAATAGAGGTAGTGCTGTGAATTTGGAGGTTGGACAAGTCCTGGCTCCCAGGTGCATTCCATGTACTCCTTCCCATAGTAGACACAGTGAAAATCTCTTATTCGTGATCCCGCCACACCTGAGACAGGTGATAACATGTTTATTTTAACAGGTGATAACAATTATTACATTAAATGACAATAATTCTCAAGCTCAATCAATTAAATTTGCCATTATTATCTAATTTAAGGTAATGTAATCCAACAGACAGTTAGGCCTATAATGAGATTCAGCTGATCATTTCATAGAAAGACTCAATCTAACTCATGCAACAGTTGGTCCACTCCTCAAAAGCACTTTCCTTGAAAACAGGACATTAATATTATGAAAATGTTTGTGTAATAGATTCCAGATGGGTGTATAACTAGCATGTTCCTATATTTTATGTTCCTTTTAGTATTTCGCTTATGCAATACACTTTAGATTGAAAAGGCGTGTAATTATTTATGTTTAAATAATACAATTATACGTCTAAATGTCCAGAGAAATGGCCCTTTGCAGGAAGTTTGATTGATAAGCAACCTGACCAATCATAACGCAGAATCTGCCATTTTTGTCCGACAAACCAGACCAAAATCACTACAAGGCAAGCCTGCAAAAAAGCATAATGGCTAATGCTAACGCTTACGCTTTGGCATTACGTGGGAAAGGAGACCAGAGGCCATTTTGTTTGAATGGATGTCAATGGAGGAGAGGCTTCACTTCGCTGAATAAACAGCTTTTTAGAGGAAACGGTTTATAATTTAATGAATTGACAGCCTATCTGCCTTCAGTTTACGGCACTTCCCATTCATTCCTACGGTATCCATAAATGGTGATTGAGTGTCGTAAAATTCTGACTGAAATTCAATGACGGCAAGGCTGTAATGTGATTTGTTATTAAGTTACACGTGACACTTTCTCCAATAGTAAGTAATAGGTTAAATTAGATTAATGTTGGTGGACTTGAACTTGAAATTGAGAAATAGTGTTTATTGACATACAGTGCTGTGAAAAGGTTTTTGCCCCCTGCCTGTTTTTTTTTTTTTTGTGTAAATTTGTCACTTAAAAGATTCAGATCATCAAACAAATTTTAATATTACACAAAGATAATGCAAGTAAATACAAAATGCAGTTTTTAAATGATGATTTATTTTATTAAGGGAAAAAAGCTGTCCAAACCTGCCTGGCCCTACATGAAAAAGTAATTGCCCCCTAAATCTAATAACTGGTTGTGCCACGCTTTGCAGCAACAACTGCCATTAAGTGTTTGCGATAACGGGCAATGAGTCTTTCACATCGCTGTGGAGGAATTTTGGCCCACTCTTCTTTGCAGGATTGTTTTAATTCAGCCACATTGGAGGGTTTTCGAGCATGAATAGACTGTTTAAGCATCTCAATCGGATTTAAGTCCGGACTTTGATTTGGCCACTCCAAAACCTTAATTTAGTTTTTCTTGAGCCATTCAGAGGTGGACTTGCTGGTGTGTTTGGGATCATTGTCCTGCTACATAACCCAAGTGCGCTTGAGCTTGAGGTCACAAACTGATGGCTTTGATAGAGTGCAGAATTCATGGTTCC